TGAGAAGGGAGCATGTCGTACAACACTTAGAGTTAATTAGTCCATGCACACTGTTGCTCAGCACCCCGTGCCTATGCTCTCTCCTCATCTTCTCGCCTTTTTTTTTTTTGTTAAAAGAACCACTTGTTGTTTCAGAAAATAAAGGGATTTCTTTTCAAGTTCTCACGGCTGCTAGTCACCAAACTGTCAGACCGCAAACAAGCCAGCAGCTTAGCCAGGGGTAAACAAGGGATCCTCTAAACCAAAGTTTGGATATCGTTATAGCTGCACTTGCCCATCATATTCTTTAAATCCCACAAAGAAAATGTCAACTTCTTCTACGGTATGAGAGTGCAGCGTCTCTCGAGTTCTCACTTAAATTTACTCCTCACTTGTAATGTCCTGTTTTTGTCAGTCAGTTCAAAGCTTTGTGATTGGTGATGTTTTGCATGGTGTTTTGAGACCGATTTGACAGGTGTCAAAGATCAAGAACCAGAACCATTACATAGTGCAAGCTGGGGTAATCAGAAAATTAAGGCTGGGTCTGTGAGATCAGGATGGATTGTTTTGGGGGTTTTTCATATGTCAATGTGTTTCCAGATCTAAGCAACACACTCAGTAAAGGTAATCAGTAATAAAGTGAATGATAACACAGCCAAACTATGAAAATCAGATCCAGGTTGTATAATCCCAAAATAGTTCTTCGGATCGTTGAGTAACATAGGACATGAAATGCCAAATTAAATGTTGAATGAAGCTTAATATGTTTCCCCTTGTACTCATTTCAATAGTTTCTGACAGGTAAGACCTGCTGGTTCTTATTTTATTTCATTTTTTGTCCATTAAGTTTCAAAGAGATTTCGGGCGGAGGAGTTTTTGACTCTTTCTTTGTTGATGACATCATGTTTGCATATTGGGAGCACGAGGTTACATCCACATCGTTAGTCTCCCGGCTTGGATCCATGCCTGAGAACTATATTCACTTTGGTTCTAAAGGTTCTATAAATTGTCTCTTTTTCTTTCTCGCTTATATTCTCTTCTTACTCCCACAACTGTTCCCACGAGACAAGGTACTCGGCTCATTGGCCACCACGCACATGGGGGGGTGGGGGGTCTCTCTTGCCACCACCGCTGGGTTTACCCACCACACACACACACATATACACCCATCCCCACCCCCAGCTGAGCACACAGGGTTAGCTGAATATTCTAAGAGCTTTCAATTTTTCAGGCAGGTCTGTGAACCCCCTCCCATCATGCAGCGCCATCGCACTCAAGGGAGTCAGAATTTTGACAGACGTTAGCAGGGTCATCTCCAGTCCCTCAGGGAGGGGCTTAAAAGAAATGAGTTGAATTGCCTTTTCTCTCTCTCTCTCTTTCTATTCTCTCTTCATCTCCCTGCTTCAGTTCTCTGTATGGGTCTGTCATAATTCCACTTCCTGTCTTCCAGGCCTAGCAGCATTCATCCCCCTCAATCTCGTCTCCGCCGCCAAATTCATCAATCGCAGACGAGGCCTTCCAAAAGGCGCTTTTTCATAACTTCGATGTCACGCTACTTACGCCACTATCAAAAGTGGTGACAGGGCTCCAAACCGCCGGTTATGCCACAGTAAGGCGTTTATCCACTTGTATAATGTGCTGCTAGTGCTCACGCAGGATCAAATACGGGACGCGAGGAAAATGGCTTCCAGCTGAAAGAGAGATGAGGGGGGGAGTGAGAAAACATTTCTTCTTCTAACTCTTTTGCACTAACATGAATTCCCAGTGAAATGTCTGGCGAAGTAGGTCAATGGGATTTAGAAAGTTTGTGATGCTTTTTTTTCTCTCCCCCCCCTTTCTCATACTCACTCGTCAATGGAAAAATGAGCAATGCGATTAGGAGAGGGGAAGATGATGAGCTGGAGAGAGCAAGTGAAAGAAAGGGGTGGGTAGGTGGGTGGATGGAGGAGACATGAAGACAGGCTGAGTGGTGGTTTGGGGCTCTCGCGGGTCCCTCACCAGCTGAGTGTGAGAGACCCAGACAAAGAAAAAGAGGGAAGAGATTTGTATCTGCGCTCCAGAGAAAGGGAGTGGCTCGCGTCTCTTCATCTTGATATTGAAGCAACAATCTAATTATACCATTTCTCCAGGGGGAATATGCATATGAGGGTAATCAGTAAATAGAAAAAGGTAATTATTTGCCAGAAGTCATAGCCTTTGCACCTGTAAGCACTGCGCCGATCCAAGATTGTGCCTCTCCTATAATTCACGATGAAGATAGTTTATTAGGGGGCTAAATTATTTAGCTAATTTATAATAAGTAAATGAATTTCCCAGTTATTGAATATTTCATAGTGTCTGTCAAAACATAATGAGTTAAGTTTGGTCAAATACAAATGGGTCCCACTTGGTAATTTGCCAGAATGTTCCTCGGGGTAAATCTCTGCAAGTGAATGTGATTGAATGTTACAATTAAACGTGCTAATTCATTGTCAAAAGCAACTTATCTACACACATGATATATTTGGCGCCTAATTGGAAGGCACATTTAGAAATGGTTTATTCGGTGACTTTCTACATCACGGCCTAATCAGAATAAATTCCGCTGGCTGTAATGAATTGAAGTTGAATATTCGTAGTTGGGCTATTAAAGAGACTGGAAGTGTGAATTATTTAAATGCAAATGAATGTTTTAAGCTTTCCAAGTAGCAATAGGCACATGTTATTCCTCATTCCCCTCCACCCCAACACACACACACACACACACACACACACACATGGCTAATTTCAACATTCACTAAGTGCAGAGTAACCTCTTGCTCATACAGTATTCCATTCAATCAATTCGGCAGCAGTGCAGGTTCTTTCAGCCGTGCAGCTAGCTCGACGCCGTGATAAAGGAAGATGGAATCCATCAATACTGGGAGACAGGTGCTGGAATTACTAATCAACTCTTAGCTGGGAATTATGTTGCCCATGGGCTGCAGTGAGGAATCATGGGAAATATGATTCAAACTTCCCTCACTTCTGATTTTGTTTGTTTTTTATCCGGGTGAGAGAAATTTCACCTGGAATCGAGCTGTGTGTTTGCACCTGACGAGTTCAACGTTTTCCGCTCCGTCAAGACCACCGCGCGTGAACTTTGTCAGATGCTATGAAATGTGCTTCAAGCTTGTGCTCAAAAGCAGCCTGCAAAGAAGCTCTAATCCGAGCGGCAGTGGCATTATTCATGTTTCCACAATAGCTTGTTATTCATCAGAAGACAAAGGAGATTCTCACTCGGCTTGACATAGATGGAGGAGGGCCACGAGGGTATTATTCACATCTGTTGAGAACAGTAAGCACAGCCAACTGGATGTCGCGATACACAATGCTTATTAATGCAAACAAAGTCTCCCAACACAGTATATAAATGGCGTTTTCCTTCACGTCGGAGCATAAATATTAATTGTATTAAATATATGATGTATTGTAGTTAAAAAGCTCCTTCACTTGTTTATTGTTAAGCCAACAGCATGCGCTTTATTAATGAGAGCAGCACATCACTGCATGCCACATAAAAAGCCGTACACGCTGAGGTGCGCTGTACTACAACTGTGCACCACGAGGTGGCACTGCAGGCTCACAAACAGATGCTGTTAAACTGCTCTTCTTCTCCGGTTGTCCTCCCCTTCACAGGTGTGTAGCTGGATCAGATACATGTACACACCCGCAGTACAAAACCTGAAATTCAGCAGCGCTCATTAAGCCCCTCATTAAGCTCCATAGCAGTATAGTTTGCTCAATACAGCATCCAAATAATCCTTAACCTTAACCACGGCAATGAATCAGCAGACTGCCTCAGGGTGTTTTCCTTGTTTGGTTTTTCCCTCTAAAAGTAGTTCATTTGCACAGCTGTCCGGGGAACACAAATTGTATTATGCTCACTTCCTGTGGCAGGACATCTGTTGCTTTCAGCTGGCACGCCTTCTGAGTGTGCTGAAATGCTCTTTATGCACCCAGATGACATTATCATAACTAAGATGAGTACTGCATTTTGTCTTATGTCGCATCCTTTCCATTGATAGGGCAGGTGGTTAGAAAAGGGGTTACTAATTATACCTGTTTCCCCCACAGCAGCTAAACTACGGTATTTGTTTAATCTTGTCAAAGAAGTGAAGCATCTGCTCAATCAGTCTTTATACCAAATAAATGGAAGCTATGGGCTTTGATGTGTCACTGAAAAAGGCTTTATTTCCGCGCGTTCCTTTGTCTCGACACCGTCTTCAGTGAGCTCACTGAGACAATTTGCGGTCATAAAACCACTGCTTTCATTGATATAATCACATTATTGCTCATACTGACACTGCTTATAGCGCTTTAAAATTGCCTGCAATTGTAAGGAATGCAACTGTGGAGACTGTGGTTTCTCTGTCATTCCTCAGGTACTGTTATCGTCATATGGGCATGTGCACTGTGTCCGTTACGTCTGTAAACAGGAAACAGCCTTTCACATCACAAAGTGAAACTGCTGAGCATGTTTTCCCATACCTGTGTCACTACAGCTACAGACCTTCAACCTTTTAGTGAATCACAACTATTCAGAAAACAATTCAAGACATTAATGCAAGATATCTCGCAGATTCCAGTCACGTGACTCTTGCTGGTAGATTTAAGCTAAAGATAAGATCTTAAATATGTAAACAGACCGCCAGAACAGGTCAGCTTTCACATAATACATGTACGCACAATAAAGTCATTCACAGTGATAATGCCATTATTATTGTTGGGTTCTTCATAAGTTCTTCTCCAGCCCCATGAAGCAATTGCAGGGCCTTACAGCTCGCTGGTTCTGTATAAACCTTCCTTACCTGCAATGAGTTGGGATTCGGCAGGATAGAATACCGATTTAAATACCACTGAATTAACATAACCTTATTTTGTCCCTGTCTTCACATCATAAAGGCGAGTGAGAAATTATACTCCTGAGACAATTCACCAGCTGTTTTTTTTAAACTACAAAAAAATTCATAGGCAATACTTAAAAAAAAAAATCTGGATTCTTGACTCCAGTTCTTGAAAGCAAAAGCATGTTCATAATTCACATAGTAACGCACATTTTTTCCAGCTACTCTTATTTAGACTGGCCAGATCGGGATTTTGAGATGATTTTTGCATATTCCCGTCCAGATTGGTACAGAGTTCGACTCTGCTTCAAATCACTGAAGTCCACGTGGAACAAGCCAAAACGAACGCTGAATCCATCGGCCCATTCAAAGTTATCCATCAGAGACCATGCAAAATATCCACGGACGTTGATCCCATCTTCTTGTATAGCTATACAAGGACAGAAGAAAGGAGTTACATAGAGCCATCTAATTAAACCATGACTAGTATCATGATATGTGACAAAAGGATCATTCTAAAGTACTAGCAAAAACCTGTTTACTAGGTCCACTCATTTATATCTTCATTATAAAAAGTAGATATAGCAAAAACTGCTGTTCATAAACATCAAACAGATGGATAATAAAGACGCGTGTATTTATCTTTCTCTTTGCAAACGACATATTCATTGCATAAAAGTAATCAGTTGGCGCCGCTGTCGCTGAACACTTACTCACAGATCTGAATCACAACACATTCCCGTGACCCCAAAGTGTTAATGCGCTAAAAATTGATTAGCAGAAGCAGTCTTTGGAAACCAAATTTATGATAAATGATAGCAAGAAGATTAAAGGTACATCAAACCAATTAAATGTTTTTTGTTTTAAACAAGACTAAATTTGTCAATTTGGACAAGCTGCAGAATTAAAATGATATTTTAACCATTATTTTCCCGATTCGCATGCTTTTAATTTTTTAAATAGGCAGGATTTATGCAGTCCCGATTTACTAGCCATTACCTTTTGCCACTTCTGAGATGGTGTCCTTGTAATACACACAGCGCTGGGCATCCTCGATCTGCAGTGGCCCCACCTGAGAGAAACCATTCTCTGTAATGTAGATCGCGGGGTTGTTAAAAGTGTCCTGCAAAGTCATAGGGCAAATATTATTGTCAAACAAGGCATCACAGCCTGTCAGACATTCCAGGGGGAGACAGATTGGTCTACAGTGTGCCGTTCAGCTGCGTTTCAACGGTGCCAGGCTCAGACTAATGGCGTGTGACAAGTCACAACAGCAGGAAATTGCTCGTTTGCAAACACTTTTCAGCAAAGTAACTGTTTCATTCAATGTGACAGCACTAATGAAGCATCAGTGTGTTTCTGGAGGTGTCGAAAAGAGATTGCTGCATGCAAAATCAATAGTGAGACACTAAACAAATGCCAGTGTTCTCCTCGTACGGTTGAAGGTGATCTATCTTGTTGCTGGTCAATTCATTTTGAGCACCGACTTTACTTTTCCGCAAGGTGAATCCAAACTGTAATGAAAAGATTTGGTCGGCCCTTGGTTTGGGTTATTTTTAGTGTAATATATTAGCGTAAAATTGTGCATTTTTACATTTTTGGACTCTACTGCAGTAGCTGTGCATGGCTCACAGTTTAAAATAATCCTTATTTATGTTATGCCGGGACTGGTGAATTATCTTAGTCAATCATTTATCTGAAACAAGCGCTTTATACTCCCTCCCCCCACTTTTAAAGGAAACTTTCTTCTGATTGGCTGCCCCATACAGACTGTAACCAAAAGAAAAAAAAAGATTTTTAGGAAAAAGTTTTACCTTAATGTACTTTAGGAGTTTCCTCAAGCCATCTGGCACTACAGCCAGCCAGGACAGTCCACTGATGGGCCAGGATGAATCCAAAACTTCCTCTGTATCTTGGTCTCCCTTTATACACAACATCTTTTCACAACCTCCTCCTGGTTTGACTTTGCGAGACGTGTAGTAGTTCAACGCAAAGAAGTCGGCAGTTCCCAGAATGGCAGATTCATCCTTGGAGAAACTGGGGAGCCTTGAGGCTGCATTGTATCCTAGCTTCCTACTTTGAGCGTCTATAGCAGATCTCATTATTTCTGGATAATCACCGGTAACAAACACGGGCCAGGCGAACCATCCCAGTTTAAATGCAAGGTCACGTTCAGTAGCAGCAATGTCCTTGGGGCAACCTTGGTTTAATGGCTCACACCAGTCGCTGTTGAGGGCAATAGACACGGCACCTTTCTGCTCTGACCTGTAGCGAGAATTGTAGCTGTGCCAGGCCATGGCGTGGGCCCGCAGCATGTTGTGTCCTACCAGGTAGGCAGCAGTGCCTTTCTCTTTTAACCCTGGGGCATGGATGCCGTCTTCGTGTCCCAGTTTGGCGCACACTTGTGGCTCATTGATAGTGATCCAAAGTTTGACACGGTCCCCAAATGTTTGGAAACAAAACTGAGCGTAATTGTCAAAGAGACTGGCTATACCAGGTGATTTCCAGCCTCCCTGGTCTTGCAGAGCTTGAGGCAGGTCAAAGTGGTAAAGGGTAACCATCGGTGAGACATTTGAGGTTAGCAAATCATCAATCACTTTGTTGTAGTATTGCACACCTGTTGAACAGAGAGTGCCATAAATGGGTAATGAGATACAATTGCCTAAAGCCATCAAATAGGCCTGGATCTAATTCCAGCATATGTGTTTCAGGTCTATGAAAATACCTTTCTGATTGACATGTTGCGTGGTCCCATCAGGCAGGAGGCGGGCCCAGGAGAAAGACAGGCGATAGTGCGTCAGCCCAAGCTGCTGGATACACTCCAAGTCTTTCTCCCACAGCTCATAGCTGTTGCAGGCCACATCTCCATTCTGGTCCCCAAACACTCTGCCTTTCTCATGACAAAATGTGTCCCAGATACTCGGTCCCTTGCCGTCCGATTGCCAGCCACCTGAACGACCACGTAAAGGTTGTTCAGAAAAACAGGTAAAGTGTTGACATATAGAAATATCACTCCGTGAATTTATTGTGACAGCATCTAAGACGTCATCTACTCTAGCGGTTATTTACATTCATCTAATTACATAAGTGTGTTAAAGACTGTATTAGTCTGCCAATATTTTTTTATGTGTGCCAAATGAGTGACAAATGTAAGGAACAACTCAAAAAAATGTGGGGAGAAATACAAGTAAATGTCGGAAACAGTGTTCAGAAGAACACATTCAACTTAGTTTTATTTATATACCACCAAATCACAACAACAGTCGCGTGTAGCTGCTTTATATCGTAAGGTAAAGGTCCTACAATACTAAAAAGAAATGTCCAAGAATCAGACAACCCCCTATGAGCAAGTACATGGTGACAGTAGGAAGGAAAAACTGTCTTTTAACAGGAAGAAACCTCTGACAGAACCAGGCTCAGGGATGCGCAGCTATCTGCTGCAACCGGTCAGGGGTTAGGAGAAGGAAACAGGCGGCAGGGTTTTTTGTTGCATTCGAGTTTTGAAAACCAGAAAAGGAGCCATTCTTCCTCGGGTGACTGACAATAACATTATGGGATATGATCAGACTGTGTCACAGAAAACAAAAAGTAATATGGTGGTGAGAGATGAGCCAGCCTTAACCATATTCTTCAGTCCACATGGGCATGAAAGCGTCATGGGGGGTTGTTGGCTTCCATGATGACAGTGCATAGATGCATGGGCCATACAGGTCACCGAATGGTTTGGTGAATAAGAAAATCATATGAATCACAGACTTAAGGCCCGTTTAGTCACCAGATCTCCATTAGACCAAATGCCCTGTTACACTAATGTCAAAACAACAAATGAGGAAATGATGAATAAATTTTCATTTATCTGTATCTCCAATATATTCAGTGCAATGGCTACTATTTCTTTACACATGCTTAAGTTTCACCAAACACTCATTTAAAGCATGTTACAGCGTCAATAGCGCCAATATTTACCAATAGTATTCACGGTAAAGCGAATTACATTAGAGGTTCTCGGAGTGTAAAAACCCTCTCTCTCTCCCGCTCCATAACAGTTATCACTGCTCCAATCAAAAACTTGTTTACATACCTTCTATTTGATACGCAGACGTCGCCGCTCCCCATGCAAAGTCACGTGGGAACATGTTTTGTGCATTAGGACGCTGAAACAAAGGCGTTCCTATATCTTAGCGCGTTATGCTTTTATCTCTCTTAAATTTAATACACAAAGCGATTTGTCTCCCTACAAAGCGGACGTTTTTTTGTTTTGTTTTGTTTTTGTTTCATGTGGCATCGCAGCCATTAACGTCCACAGACCAGGAACTACTGCGAGATGTGACGTTTCGTAAGTCACGTACAGAAGATTTCATCCAGTACGGGAAACTCCGAGGATAATTATCTCGCTGGATTTTGCTTTTTTCCACAATGCCACTACTGTAATACTAGCTTAATGCTGTTATTAAATAATAATAAATCAAAAACACATTAGTTCACGGGATTCGGTCATTTCATGTTCACAATTTAGGGCAGGAATGTGGGATTAAGAAATGAGGAAATGAAATCCGAGGTGCACCTGAAAGCACCGCAAGAATGAGTCGAGGGTTGCGATAAAATCAAAGGCTGTTGCCAGCTTGGTAAATTAGTAAAAGTCTATTTTGCAGTCAAGCAGAGCAACTAAGTGAGTTTCTGCTGTGAGTTTATGGTATTAACTTTTTTAAAAAAAAATTATAAAACAAATAACATAAATTCAAATTGTAAAGACCCAAATATTACGATGCTATTAACAATTTGGACAGAAGTATTTCTCTAGAATCTAGAGAAATACTTCTGTCTATCTAGAGTCTAGATAGTATAAGAAATGCAAAAATGAACTATAGTTATAACACATATGATATGATGCTTCCGTATCATATACAGTCTATCGTTAAGCCTCGCACGGGTTCTAATAATGCTGTAGTCTAGTTTTCTATATGATGAAGTGAATCATTTGATCTCATCAAAATGAACACAATGGACTGCGACAAGAGGGCAAACAAATACTATCAGATTATCAAGAGTATTACATTCTCAACTCGGTGGAGTGGAAAGATTCAAACGTCTGTATCAGGGCAAAAACAAATCCTTATCATGGCTTTCATGTGAACTGCAAACTAGACCAAACGACCAGAGGTGAAAGTACAGATCCTGTATTACGATAAAATTAGCAAGAAAAACATAAACACTCACTTTTTTTAGTCCTGCAACAGCAGTATTTTTTAATGTCCACCATATTTTTTTTATCGCATTTTTATATCGCAGGTTTATATTTTAAATGCTATATTACTTATGTTGATAGTTTTACATGTAACTGTGCACTGTTGGGTGATGTGCAACAGGTACATATCCAGAAAAGACACTTTTAACAGTTCCTTTGCGTTCAACCAATGAACCTCGTAGACGCAATCATCCCCCCAAACTCAAAGGAAGTCATCTCCTGGTGCTTTTATTATGAAATGCGGACCGGATGTGGTTTGGAATCTGCTCGGCCTTGACCGCCCCTGACTTTAGTGGCTCCCGGGGCAGGACCATGGGACTAGTAGGACTTCTCAATGGAAATAAGGCTAGTTTTAAATCTTTTCTAAAGACACCGGTTAACAAAACGGACACGCCGACTACTCTGGATACGTTATTATACAGTTTTTAGTGTATTTTTCCCACATTGGTAGCACAGTTTGAGCTAAAACTGTTGTTGTTTTTGCGCTCTGTTTTTTTCCCTCAAAGTAATTTCCTGTTCATGACCGGGGGCGAGAGTTTCCACGCTTGTTTGTCGTCCCGTACGTGTTTCGAAGTAATGGGAAATTTAAAGTGAGCGTTAAAAAAGCCCGACCGTGTTTCCTGAAGTTGGGAGCGGATAACCTGGGATGACTGCAGCCGCCTCCTTTGGATAAGACAACACACTGACTTGGACCCACGCTATGGGCAACAAAGGGAACCTCTCAATAACTGGGCTAGTTATTTAGCTACCAGGGAGGATACTCGGCATTTGAAATGTGGTAGATTTGCAGAGCTGGGAGGAAATGGAAGCCGATGCCAACATGGAAAGGGAATTCTAAATGAGTCGTTTTCCAAACAAAGAAGGACACCTCCGTCGGACTGAACACCGCCGAGCAAAGGGAAAGCCTTGCGAGAAATGGAGGAGGAAGGCTCGCTTGAGCCAAACAACATACTTGCAAAGGTCTCATTCTTCTTTGCCCGGGTCTAGCAACATCTACCCGCCCGCCTGTTCTGTTATCAAAACATTGTTTCCTTCGCCGGTGCTGCAGTGCTTTTCTGGCCGCGTGTGAATTAAAAATGAGGGTGGATCGTTTGCAGTTGTTTGGGATTTTGCTGCTGCTGAGCGGCTGCTGTGGCTCGGCGGCATCATCCGCGTGCAAATCGTTTGATGAAAACTCGAAAAGCGGTGGGAAAATCGTGCCGTCCTACAAGAAAGTGGTCTGCAGCAACATGGAGCTCCATCAGGTGTTGCCCCCGGACTCTCTCTCTTTCCCGAACAGAACAGTGACACTGTGAGTACACGCATACTGATGCATGCTGTGAAAACACATCCCATCAGTCACTAGATTCACTTTATTCTCAGTAAGGACTGTTTCTTTCCTGAAAGTTAATGTTACTGGAACTGTTTGCGACGTCTTAATAACCATCTTATCCCCCTTATTCATACTGCACAAACACGAAAAGATAAATATATCTTGATAAGCCGACCACAAACTATCATTTCACAGCTATATACTGTAAATAGCAGTGTAAATACTAACCTTGTGTAACAGTAACCCCTTCCTGTTATGCAGTGATTTATGCAGAGGCTGCTAAATTGCACACATGCCATTATAAATGTAAGAGCTCATAGGTTATGGATGTGATTCTTTTTCCACCTGGTTTTACTCTGGCATGGTTAGATCCTGACAGCACACCTGGCTAACACTAGCCAGGTGCCTTTTTTTTTCTTCAAGAATTACACTTTTAAAGTTTAGTTTTAGGTTGTTGGTATGTAGCCACTACAGTAATATGGCCTTACATCAGAAGCAGGCTTTGAGGCTGTGCAACCACTGCCTCTCCATCAGTGTCATTGATTAAAGTTGCTGGTCTTTGTGTGGCAGTCTGCAGGGATGAAACGCACACCGAGACACAAGCTGCTGATTGATTGAGGCCTTTGTGTTGTGTCAAGTCAGAGCAGATTTAACCAATTGACACTCTGGTTTTGGTCCATCACTGAGCATTTGACAGGGAAAAATAAATAAAAAGGAATTTGAATAATCTTGACAGTAAGTCGAAGCTGCGTGCACCCCAGAGCTCTTGTACTTTGCGGTGGTGGTGTGCAATGGAGGAAATATGAGAATACCAGGGCAGGGTGCAGGAGTGGAAAGCAAATAATGGACTCCAAGGAGGGAAAGAAAGGCAGAGGACTGGCTGGTAATAAAGAGTTGTAAGACAATTGCAGTGCATGTTTTTTAAGAGCTTTACTATAAGCCACTTGTTAGATTTGAGGCACTTTCCAAAGGCGCACGTTTTAAAAAAATGTTAGTTTGTATTTCAAAACAGGACTCGACTGCATTTGCAGATATTTGAAACTTTCTTGTGTCATATGAGACTTGAAAATCAGCCCATGCGCATAGTTTCTGCAAGGATGTTGTTAAGTTTGGAGTTTGGGTTTATGTCCAGAGTAATTTTATCAAGTAACTGGAGCCCAAAAAACATCCAAATTAGGCCTGTATAGTCTATCCTGGGTGGAGCTCCACACCTGGCAGTCATTCAACCAAGTGTTATTACCAAAAGCACTGATCCAAAAACACAGGCTGTACGCTTGTCCTTATGATTAAATGTCCCATTAAACAAAGCATTCATATTGTGCGTCAGTTGTTTTCTTTACTGTACGGCATCAAGAAGCCACGAGGAGTCCAAATTTACTCCAGCACATGCCTGCTGTGATGTTATTGGTGGGTAGAATCAAACCGCATATTCAAGCTTCTCGCTAACACAGGAATAGATCATATGGGTGAGTTTACTGTGTGCGAATTATTAGTGTTAGGGCAGATTTACCATTACCTGCACAGACTATGGGATGTCTCATTGCAGTTTAGCTTAAAGGATGGTAAGCAGAATGGACAAGTAGACAAGATCCGTCGTAAACTGGAATAAAACACTTGTATGGCTCTTGAATATAAAAGAAAAAGATAAATTCCACTGCTTTTATTTTTATTTTCAGGAAGGATTTATGGAATTAGTGCTAGGTATGGTGTGCTCTGAAGTAATGTAGTGGGCCCTCCCTTCTGTTTGCTTTGTCTTTATGTCTACAGTGAGCTTGTAGTCTCTCATCACGCTCTGACAGTGATGGATCGGAGGTTGAGCCTGGTTGCTCATGATTTAGCGCTGAGCTCCAAAGAACAAGAGCAGTGTAATTTGAGAGCTCGACCAAAAACAGCCATGAACGCGAAAGATTTTATTCAGTCGCCCACGTTTGTTTTTCTGGGAAGCAGTTGTCGTTTATTGTTGGAAAACAGTAGAACTACCCTGTACTTGTGGAACTGTCTTCATAGTTCCCTGCAGACATGAGTGGCAATGAAATGACAGTTTATGCTGACTGCAAAGTTTTTTGGGTGGCAATTTATAACCTGTAAAATCAGCGACCCCTCTCGGGAGACGCAGCTGGCCTCGCAGGAGTCCCGGCTGGTGTGAGAACCCTTTCCCAGTCTTGAAAATGATCATCCCCCGTTTCTCCTTGTTAAGCCAAAGCTAATCCCAACATTTTCAGCTGCTCTTACTTTGTCTGTTCATGCAGCGATAATACTGGGAATAATGTCCGGAAATTCACAGATGAGATTCCTCGAGGTGTGCGAAGCTAATAGATCTGTATCTAAATGGCCCTTTAGCAGGCTTTCCTGCCAAATCTCTCGCTTTGGATTAATTTTTTTGGAATATTAAAAATTTCATCATTTTCAGTGTCCCTCTGAGGTTAATACACAGTAATATCCTTCACCTACTCTGGCCCTTTGGGCGTCAGTTATATTGTCAAGGAAGTGATTGATGGCATGGTGTCTTTCTTGTCGGAAACAGCACGTTAAGATAGATATGATTAGAAACCCATCTGTCATACTAATTCCACCCCTTTGTACTTCTGATTTACCTCTTTGGGGGGTCTTCTAACAAATAAAAAATGTAATCCAAGCTTTTCACGTGAGAAAAAAGAAAGAAAGCTTTGACCTGTAAGCACATTTCTTTTGGAAGTTTGTCAAAAACTCTTTAGACTTTGAACTCGCTGAACTACAGTGATAATTGG